CCTTCTCGTATCAGATATTCTTGCTCATCTTTTTCAGGTATGTACTAAAAACAAATAAATATATATATATATAAATTGTTATTCAAATAAGATTTATTTATCATAAAAATTCTCTAGGATCGACATTTGTTTCATAAGGACGTTCGTAAATCTTATTGAAAAAATGAATTCTAAAATTGTTTGACCTATTTTTTAATACTATAGTATCGATCAAAAATATAACATCAAACATTTTTTTGATTTTTGTTCGTATAATATCAAGAATTTAAGTCAAATGAAGCTCTCTATCAAATACATAGTGTAGAGAAATTCCATAGATGGATTATAAGTAGAAGATTTTTCAAAAACTTAAACATGAATAATTTTCAGATCTCACGAGGGAAGGTCACCAACTGTTCAATCGCTTTTGAGTCAGAACTGTGTGCATCATATAGGTCCTAATGAGCTATGAATACCCTGAAAAGAGTTCGGGCGGCTAGCCCATTACTGTCGAGATACTGCATTTTTACGATATTGTTAAGCAGAACGCCGTAGTCCCCCTCAGGAGCACCAAAAAAACTGAGTTTTGAATTTTGACTTGAAGTTTGGCACAGAAACAGACCTCAATGAGTGGCTTATTTTGAAAGTTTCAGATCTTTTGGTTGCTCCTATTCTGAAATAAGCACATCGGAACCTGTCGAGGGTATACGAGCAGTGTAAAAACACCCTTTTTAGCTGTATCTTAGGATAGGAACAACCAAAAGGCCTGAAACTTTCACAATAAACTACTCTCACTGAGGTCTGTTTCTGTACAAAGTTTCAAGTCAAAACTCGAAACTCAGTTTTCTGGTTCCTGAGGGGGACTACGGCATTGTGCGTAGTTAAAAATACCATAAAAATGCCGTATCTCGGCAATAATAAGCTAGCCGCCCGAACTCTTTTCAGGGTATTCATAGCTCATTAGAACCTACATGATGTACATAGTTCCGACTAAAAAGCGATTGAACAGTTGGTGACCTTCTCTCGTTAGAAGATCGTATGAAATTATATTTTTATATTAAGAATGTACAGTTTCAATTTACTGATCATTGGCGTCATCAATACAGGGTAAATAATATGTGAAGACAACAAGAAAATTTTATCGAATCGCTTTTTTCAAAGTACATCTGAACGACTCAAAATAAAAAAAATTATATGATGCCGTGGATTATCTTTTACTAATGTTTGTATAATAATACTCGAATGTTTCTTAAAATAGACAACCTATAGAAATTGTATTAATTTTATCTATATTTCAAATTGGAATATATTTGCTATTTCATCAAGACAAGTAGTTTATATCTTATTCATTTTATCAATAAAAAAAGTTCATTTAGTTTAAATGAAAATATTTACTTTGAATAAATGACTATATTTCTTTTGAAATTGTTTTAATGCTTGTTGATTTGTCATTTTATTACCATTATTGTGATTATCATATTTACCGGGTATAATATGACTAATAACAAATTTTGTTTGACTATTTATTGTAACTGATGTAGATATAGATGAACTATTGCTCGTATTTTTGCGTTTCCGTCTATAATAAAAAAAAAAATTCTTTTTTTTTTTTTGCTCAAACAATTTACTTTGCATTGCCATTAGTTGTAATAGTTATTGGTGGAATAGGAGAATGAACGTTTGTTGTTAAATCATCTGTTGTTTGTGCTGGTAATATTGAACTGGCTGAGTATGTAGCTAAAGCCTACATAAAGTATATAGTGAACAAACAAGAAAGATACGCCCGCGTGGCCTAATGGATTAAGGCATCGGACTCCTAAATTTCTTTTGAGTAGAGTCATCCGAAGAGTCCGGGTTCGAGTCCCGGCGCGGGTGTCCACATATTTTGTTCCTGCGCTTAATTTCTCTTTCCTTTTCTTGCTTCGTTCTGTTCTGTTTTTTTTTTTTGCATTACTCCATATGATAACTGTCATAAGGAACATATTATTGAGAAACAAATGACGGATGACAAAACTTTCTTCTTTGTTAAAGGAAAAATAATTTGTAAAAAAATATCCTTGCCCACGTGGCCTAATGGATTAAGGCATCGGACTCCTAGCTTTGATAATTGAACTGAGCCATCCGAAGAGTCGGGGTTCGAGCCCCCGCGTGGGTGGATAAAAAAAAAATTAATATTTTACTTTTAATACAATAAATATCTAATCTTTATGTTTTTTTTCTTTTTTTTCTCATCAGTTTAACATACTTCAGTTACCATAGCACATAAACTTGAACGAATAGTTTCATCAGTTGTATTGGGTGCATTAACTCGATCAAAATAAGTCTAATAAAAGAAAAATCAACATTTTTATGTTTTATATTAATATAGGAAAATTTCATATTTACCATTTTATAATTATCAAGTAATGCTTTAAGTTCACGTTCTAATGGTTTATGTATAATTAAACGTATAAAATCAATCCATTCAGCATCAGTAATTGTAGCTTTTGATGATGATTGACGTTGTCTATACAAAAATAATAGATAAATGAAAATAAAACTTAATCTGTAATTACTTGAGTAAATTTATTTGATTTACATGAGCAGAATTATAAGACTTTTTATGTTTTGTGTCTGATGGTGGTGGTACTAATAAAGTAGATGAAGAATTCATTAATGTTTCAAGAATTTGTGAACGTTGACTTGCAGGAAGAATCTATGATCAATAAATAAAAACAATCATTTAATAGAAACATAAAAACTAGTTAAATTTCTTTTATCTTACAAATGGAATAGACTGATGTGGACAATCTTCTGATGATGATGATAAACAACAATTATTTGTAGATTTTTTTTGTTCACGTTTTTGATTAGAATTTAAAAATTTTTCTTCATCTGTTGTATTTGTTTCTGGTAAACGTAATGGTGGTGGTAGTAATTTTTTTGATCGTGCTGATGAATTTATTTCCATTTGTTGTAAATCAACCGATGTCATATTTTGTATTTGTTATTTATGACGATCGTCAAAACTTTGTAGAAGAAGAAGAAAAAAAAAAAAGAAAAATATTATTATGGAAACCAGGCTTTTTTCTTTTCTAACATTATAATACTGATGTGTCGATGTACTCTAAAATGTAGTGAAAAAATAAAATTTACCATATAGTTCACTATTGATCCGCCAGAGGGTGCTACACTAGAAGGATAAATCTTAAGTAAAGTTTTCTTTCTTTTTTTATTGTGAAATACAAAAAAACAAAATGAAAAGAATTTTTTTTATGTTGTAAATCGATAAATAATATTAGCTATAAATAAATTATTCGTTGAAATTAACCAATGATTTTACAGATAAAATGTCTCCACTTTAATATTTTCCAAGGGTAATAGTCATATGCATGAGTCATTATATCAATGTTGAACTAGAAATTCATTCATACACTTAGAATGAAATTCATTTTGAAAAAATGCTATTTACAGCATATGAAGTACATCATTGACAAAGATTATTTATGACATGTAAGGCTTTAGATCGACTAAAATTAGAAAATTAGATTTTAACGACATCTCATGTTTGGATTATTCATAGTAGAATCACAGTAATGTAGAATTGTCCTTTTTTATGTGAAACTCATTTTTACTAAATATAAAAAATATCATTGAATATAACACTGAAATTAATATATATTGAATATAATTTCTTTTACTTACGTCTCAACGAACTTCAGATGTCACTTTCATAAATGCATTTCATATAGATTTACATTTCTCACCATACTTTATATCACAAGGTCATATACGAAAATAAAAAACATTATATTAACTGATTTTTATCAGCTGGATATCTCCATCTCAAAGGAAATTTTTGTATCTAAATGAAAAATTGAAAAACAAATTATGATGAATGATTGTTTTATGAATCATTTAGTGTAATATTTAGTAAAACTTTATTATTAATTAATAAAAAAATGTCGTGAGAAATTAGAATTTTGATTAATAGTTATATAAAACTGTTTTCATAATGATACTTGTAAATTTATTCGTAGTACATCGAATTCATTAACAAATTTAAATTTTTATATTTTCATTATTGTTATATATGATGGCCATGTTTGTCGAATGTTTAGCATTACATTAGATATCTGTAGTCGACTTGGTTTTATTTGATATTATATTAATAATTTTGGCTCAGTGAATTTAACAAATGGAATTCTTTTTTCTGTTTGTTGTTTTTGATAGTTTGTGAATTTTATTTTACACAAAACAGTCCATAGTATTCTGATATTTGTTTAATTTTAGTTGTATTAGTACATGACGTTTAGCTAAATTTAATATTCATGTATTACAAGAATATTTTAATGATCTTCCTATTATAGCTGTTGGTGTAATTGTTGTATTGCTTGCATTAACCTCATTTATATATATATATCAGTCCTTATTATAATTGGCTTTGTAATCTTAATGATCTTTTGACTTAAAATTCGAGCATTATGTAGGATTTGCTTGCTACTCCATATGATGACAAGATCTTTGTTTTGTACTGACATTTTTTTCTATTTAGAAACCAATGTACTTTTTATTTTTCTCTACGAAACGAAAAAAAAAAAGATAATTGTAACTTTAACTTAATTTAGTATTTATAATAAAATAAAAATTCATTTTTGTGATATGTTTTTTTTTGTTTTATTTTTTAACACCGATTTTTCTGTAGAAAACACAAAACAATGATAATAATAATAATAATAATAATAATAATATAACTAGGGCACATAGCAAAAATAAACGAAACTTGTCGTTTAGTTGAAACAAGATAAAGAAAAAGAGAAAATAAATCATAAAAAACACGCAAAAGATATAAGGTAGACGTCTAAAGAAACATCTATATACCGATAGTACAATATCATCTATTATGGTATCCTTTAACGCTAGAATCATATAAAAATACAGAGATAAATGAAGAGCTGAGAACATGAATCAGAAGAGATGAAGAAAAAAAAAACAAATCCAAAGTCTACAAATTACATTTATATACAAATCTATTTCTTTTTTTAACTAAAACATATGCCACGTTGACACGCTTCACAATGAAATTTATCATGTGGTGCACGCATTCTTCCTGTTCGTTGATTACGATCATGACGTGAACGTTCAGAAATGTTATTAATATTTTTAATCGTTTCTGTACGTTGTAAACCATCATATAAAATAATTTCAGGAAAAAATGAACTAAATATTGATTGAGCTAAATTTTTAATCACACGACAAACTTCCTCTAAAATAAAGAAAAAAAAAGATATTATTTTTGAATATATTAAAACAAATAAAAGAAAGTTTTTCTTTTTTTTTTTAAATTAAAACATACCAGTATACCACAATGCATCAGCTAATGTTTCACATTGTTGGCAAACTTGTCCGTAAATTTTAAGTGCAACGAAACCGTTCGGTTGTGGATGACTAATTTTAAATGATATTCGAGCACGCATTGAGGTCCATAAGCGACCACAATAGATATTTGGACATTTGAATTGTGCCTTTGCATTATCAAGTTTCACAAAAGCAAAACCAGGCCATTCACATGGATCACCATGTAATTCACTTTCAGCAAAAAGAGAATATTTATAATCAGAATAATTCAAAGCCAGTGGACAGATTATATCACGAGCGAATTCACCATGAAATACTTCACATGTATTCAAGCAAATATTCTTTTTTTCACTATCTGGTACTTTTTTAGCAAGAACAACTAAAAAAACAAACGACATTTAGTGTTATAGCAGTATAAGATTTATTGATTGATAATAATCAAATAATAGAAAAACAAAATGAATATTGTACTTACGATCATTATAAAGATCTAAAAGTTGTTGATATTTTTTATTAAGAATTTGAATTGGATTGGCTTCAAAACCTTCATCATCACAAGCACCAAATTGTGTTAATGGTTCTTCATCATCAATATTATTTGATTGTAATCGAACATGATTTATAACTTGTTGATCAAAATCTTCAATACCTGAATCATTATCACTTGTTGTTTGATCATTTTGAATTAATGAATTAGTTATACGTCGATGATCATCAGTTAGTACTTGGATTGTATTATGATCTTCAGCTGAAGAACATCGACGAAGTTTTGGTCGAATCACTTTATCTTTACTTGAATTACCTGCTACAACACTAAGTTGACGATGAACTAATAATGAACCGGTCATGTTAACTATTTTTTTGTTTTTTGTCTTAAATGAAAGACAATATGTCTTTTTTTTTTTTTTTTAAATCTAAAAATAAATGTTTATGTTTTAGTAAGAGGAGTTAATATTTATACGTAAAAAATGGCTAATGTAAAATCTTTGGGGAAAATGCATGCCAACGAATAAAAGGAAGAACAGGAAAGAATGAAAGAATGATTGTGACGAGACGAAGGAGATTTTCGTTTCCCCGAAAAAAGAAAAAAAAAAAAAAGGTGAACCTACATAAGTGTGTGTGTGTATCTTGGTTGAGAATGAAAAAACTTCTTCTCGTAATTTTAAAACAGTAGAAACAATCTCAATCTATTTGCCAACTTTGTTTTTGACAAGACGAAAGCAGAAATGAGCAAGAAGGAAAAAAAAGAAGAAAAGAGAGCAGTCTTACTGGAAAAAAACACATAATAAGAAAGGAAGAAAAAAAGGTTTTTTCCCATTTCGATCTCTTTCTATCTAACAACATTCTTACGTTTTAATGATGAAATTTCTGATGACGTGGATGAATGATGCAAGAATAGAACAGACAAACCCGATGATCGCTTTTGTTTCTTATGCCTACCGTACGATTATTAATATGTCTGTTAGAAGATACGTTTATATATTTATATATAAAGTAGAGAAAGAGAAAAAGAGAAAAAGAGAAAATGATGTTCTTTTGTCGTTCTTGCTCAACTATTGTAAAAATTTTTCATAGAAATCAATTTTTCTTCTCTTTCATTCTTTTCCTCACTATAAAATATTTTATATCTAAATTTCTCAGTTGATGCAATAACACGTTGATGATGAATAATTTTTCTTTCTATTTGAAAAATAAAAAAAAAAAAGCAAAATATTGACAATAACAAATGAATTGATAATGATCGAATTGTTTGTTTTTCGTTCTGTTTCTAGCTATTTATTTTAATATAAGATTTTAATCAAACATTTTCTTATCAAAGAAAAAAACGGGACAAAGTGGTTGCAGTTCTGGGAAGTGGTTGAAGATTATTTTTTCTTATTTATTTTCTATGCAATACAAGGGGTATAATATCTCACATAGATGCCACGTCATATCTAACAGCTGACTAAACCCTATGAATCATTGGTATTATCTCTGACAATATAGATTCTACGATCTAGAAAATCATTCATATGATTCAAAAAAAAAAAAATAGAAGAGTCAAAATAAACATTATTAACATAAATGTTATTTTAAAGAGAAACCTATTTAGATCTTCTTTCAAAAAAAAATGTAAACAGAAGAACTGACGCATATCATTTACTACTAAAGTGTCCTTGTTTTTTTTTTTTTCTTTAATTGCTATCAGTCAACAAATACTTTTAGAAATAAATGACACCAAAAAAGAAAATAATGAATGATAAAATTTTTTTATAAAAATAAAAAACAGAATATGTTATATTATTATGACAAATAAATCTCGACACGTTGATAAATAATATTAAATTTTATCAAATATATTTGCTTAATAGATTTTGTCATAAAAACAAAATTTTTCAAAAATTTTTGTATCTGATGGTTACATACGGATTATTGTTGTGATTTTCAGATAATATTTACTTAAATGAATTTTTTTTTCTTAATAATTTCTTCGTTGATGTTGTCGATAAGATCCATAACAATATCCTTCACGACAAGCTTGACATAAATGTTGATAATGGGGACCATGTGTTTGACTTCTTCGTTGTTGAAGTTCTTCTTCCGAAGAAGAAGAACATTGAAATATTGGTAATGTAAAATTTCGATCTGGATAAAATTGTTCTATTAATATTCGACATACATTCTTCATAACTCGAGTTGCTTCATTCAAATACCACGATGGTCGAATTTCTCTTCCGCATAATCGACATTGTTGTGTACATAAATTCACACATAAAATATTATATTTACCAAATCTTGGTACTTCCGCTTGAAATATAACTCTACCACGTGCTGTTGTCCATTCATTTACACAATTTAAACAACGATATTTTATTTTTACATTCTGACATATTAATAATTTATCATGTGGATATAAAAATACTTGAACTCGAGTACAATCATTCATATCAAGATTATAATTCCAACCTATTGGTAGAGGAAAGTCTATAAAATACAGACACCATCGTTCTAAACTATCATAAAAGTTCCAATTTAAATTTATTTCCAATTCAGCATGAAATACAAATGTAAAATTTGGACAAATAATATTTTTATCTAAATTATCTACTGAACGAGCTTGATGCACAGATGCTTGATAATCTTAATAAAAAGAAAAAAGAGAACAGGTTATTTATATATTTACTTGACATGACGTCACGTAGAAAATACCAAGTGCTAAGGTCATGACTCATACTTTAACGGAAGTTAATACGACTTACCATGTTCATCTAGGATCCTTCGTAATGCCATAACCAAATTAACAAAAACAATAAAAATCTTTTTGGTACTTGTTGATGTAGAATTATTATTAATATTTTTTCTAAATCAATATAAATTGTAACTAATACTATCTCTTAAACTCATAAAAAATAGAATGAAATATTCTGTTGATTTTTGTTTTATATATTTTCTTAAATCTTCAAATATTTTCTATGCGTGTGTTTGATGATTAAGAAGAAAGGAGAATAACGTCAACTATTTCAATGAAATCAGTCTGGAATATACCACTTATTGTTGCTACACCTCCACCTTTCATTTTACGCAATACTCATGGCATGTATTTATTTGTGTGATTTCTAAGAAAAAAAAGTTGTACTCAACACTGATTTCCTAAAGTCATAAAATTGGTTTTTTCCACGTGACACATAAGCAAAAAAATATCACCTACGACTTTTTACTTCATATGTTGTCTATTAAACGATATATCACGTGACTCAATTCATCAAATAATTTATTTATAAATAAGAAAGTATTAAGACAAAAAAATATATATATATTCATTTATTTGACATTATTTATATTTAATTTGTTGAAGCTCGTTTAATAATTGTATATCGAGTAAAGAATACAAGAAATATAACAACACTAACAAATGTAATTAATATAAAATAAGTTATAAGTATTGATGCTAATGCACATAAAACAACTGTTTTATGACACCATATATCAGGATTTTCTAATAATTGTTCGAAATATGGTGGATATCCAATAGTTACTAACCAATAATGACCTAAAAAAAACCATATAACAAGAAATGATGTCATTAAACCATCAATAAATGCATGACCATCATTATGATCAGATGATGGTTCTTCATCATTTAGAACTTTTTGTTGTAAACGATATTTATGCCAAATATTTTGAAGAAGTTTTGTTGTCCATACAATACCAGCAACAAATAAATAAATTGGTAAATTTGTTTGACGTGGGCAATCATTTAAATGACTAACACCTAAATAGAAACAACAAAATTGTTAGGATAATCTTTGTAGAGATTAAAATATGAAACATCATATAGAATTCTGATTTCTAATCATTAGGACATTGTTTTATTCTAAGACATTTTTTAACATTATGTTACTCCTCCAGAAATATAAAAAGGAAGTGAGTTAGTAGGAAAAAAATTTAACGGGCGCGTATTTCCGTTTTATTTTTCTCCTAATATTAAACAATGATCTCAAATCCAAATAATGATTATAATAGCGAATGGAATATTTACACTATGGAATTCTATAATAAGATTTTATGAAAGATCTCTGATGCCGAACTTTCTAGAATACCGATGATAGTAATTCTCAAGTCTTAGAAGGTAGTTTTTTAAAGAATTATATTTTAAAGATCAACAAATACTGACTAAAATGAGTAGCCGCCGCATTTTTTACGACTTTGTCTTAAAAAGTTTAAAGTATCACAAAAAATCAAGAAATGACGTTTTTTGTCGGGTTTTTTCTTTAATAAATTTCGTATTTTTTTACTGTTTTTATGATTTATTTAATTTTTTAAGGAAAGATCGTAGAAAATGCGACGACACCTCAGTTTTTTTTTCAGCGTTTTATGCTCTTAATAAAAAATATCTCTGACAAAGTTTTCTGAGGCCTGAAACATTATCATGTCCGCTTTTTAAAATCCTTGTCATCATAACTCCTTCATAAAATTTTCCTATAGCATGCATTAGATAAAAAAACTCCGTTGGTTCTTAAAATCACTATTTGAATTTAAGATAGTTGCTCAACATGACAGAAACAAAAATCGGAAATATTTTGTTTTAAAACTTTTTCTCACCATCCTAGTTCTTATAGTACAAAGAGACATTATTGAGATACGATTTGTAATTGCATCTCAACAATACCTGTCACAGAGAAGAAGGAAGAGTGTTCTCAAGGTCTCTGTCATGGTCTGCGACGTTTTTATAACGTTGTCTATCCAGGTTTGTGAAAGAGAGGAAGGGCATGCAGATTTTTTATTATATATATATATATATCATAACGTCGTTTTAGGTTGCGTTACACCAAAATAAAAATATAATAAAGTGTTGTTTTTTACATACCAATACTCATCATTATAATAGGAAGAATAAGAAGAAGACCAAGAAAAATAGTTGCTGCTTCTAAAGAAAATTATTTATCATAGATTTGAAAATTTGACTTATTTAAATTTACTTGTTTTCATAAGTACAAGTATAGTTTTTTTAACAAATTCAAGTAATGATTCACAATCAGTATATTCTTCAATTAAACGTGAACGTAAACTACCATAATGAGGTGTTTCTTTATGAAAATCAATACTCCATTTTGATGCACGTGATACACTCTAGATGAAAAAACAATTAAAATTGTTAAAAAAACAAAATATAATCTATTGAATATTTTATTTTTATACTTTTTTTATTGTAGCAGCACTTCTTGATGATCCATCCCAATAAAACATAGGAGCAAATGATTCTCGTTCAGTTAAACCTTCTAAGGTAGCAGGCGTAATAGAATGAGTTGACGACATGTGACTATGTTTACTATCATTACTTAAATTTTTTTTGTTTAAAAATTGTGTTGAAATATCTGATGTTGTTGATATTGATGTTCGATCATTTAATTGAGATTTCGATGGTATTGATGTTGATGTTATACGACGATTTGATAATATTGTTGATGGCATATGTGTTGATAATCGTCGACACATTGTACTTCGACGACGTGAAAATGATTCTGCACGTCGTTTTAATTCTAATTGTGTACATACAACACTTTCAAATGTTAAAGAATTTTTGCTATTCAATGGTATATTTGAAATCATTGTATTTAGACAATGAGTATGTGGCATTGTCCCTCGTCGAGCAGCCTATATTTATAAAAAAATAAGTATGATTATTACTTTAGGGAATCTAATTCAATGAGCTACGGTAAATATGACTTATAGACAAATGCTAAACATATGTCTCAAGTGTTCTATCAAGTGAACAGAAATGTATAGCACGAACATAACAAAAAAAAAAGACTCGAGTATTTCTTTTGATTTATAACAATAGTCATGTTATTCAATAAAAGACAATAATAATATTTCTTTGCTCTTTTTTTTTTGTTTTTGTTTCTTTTATATTCAAAAGATACCATTTTACAATGATTAAGTTAAATAATTAATCAATAGACAATAGATACATCAAAGATTTCTTTTCTTTTCTTACCACTACTATCATTATTGATACTTTTGTTTGATAAATATATTGGTTATAGTGATATTTTTTTTGAAACAATCAAAAAAATCTATTCTCTATTGAAATAGTCTATTTTATATCATTTTAGTTTTCACTTTTCTCTGCCGCTTTTTCTATCTCTATTCACTCATTCAATTATATACGTAGACAATTCTTAATAATACGATGAAAAACATCTTCATCTTTCTTTTCTTTTATTCATTTGATCATGTCATCATCGAGAATCGTTCGGTTTCTATTTAGTCACTTTGCTATTTTTGCTTGTCATCTCGTTCAATATCTAGCTTAAAGTTCGTACGAAAATTCAATTTTCTATCTACATACTATAAATATTCAAAAAAAAAAAAAAGAATTGATACGCATTTTTTTTTTCTTCTTTGGATGTTATTAAATTCTATACACGTAGGACTAACAAGATCAAAAGAAGAAAAATGCTAATCATATCTTATTATGTATTAGTATGTAAAGAAATCATAAAAAAGGCTTTTAATAAAAAAACAATTTGATTCCAAACAATACATTTTCATTTTAATGTTTTACTTGCCAACTTCTACTTGCATCATTCAATGAACTTGAATTAATATTTATATATATCTATATATATACATGTCATATCATATTATATTTATATGAATAAATATTGTTAGATTTATTTGCATCTATTTAGGTTCTGATAAATATACTCAACACAATTCTTTATTAAACCATGTGTGTGTGAGTATAACATTATTGATTCATGAAAAAAAAAAGACAATCGATAGTGAAATTCATTAGATAGAATTGAGAGTAATAAAAGTGTTAAACATATTTTCTACATTACATGGATATTGCAATAATAATCTGTTTGAGCCATATGACAATGAAAAAAAAAAAAAACAAAAGATGAATGAAGAAAATTTATAACAACTAAGTTGCTATTATCATTACCATCTCAAGTATTATGACAAGAATCCTAAGAACTATCATCGCAAAAAAAACAATATAACAATCAGTGACATGCTCAATATGTTTGTGTGTTTTACATAAAAGATAAGATATCACTGTCATCAATAGTAATGAAAAGTAAATCAAGTTGATTTTATTCATGACTAAACTAGGTAAGAGATTTAAAATAGAGATTAATTGTTTTTTTACGCTCATAATTATTGTTTGTATTTTTTAATTTTACAATTATTCTAATAGTTATATTGCGAGTAAGAAATCCTGTTTATCATAAAACTAGTTATGTTTTTTTTTCTCAAACAAACATACAAAAACTCACTCATAAGACAATAATGAACAAAATAAATATTACTGAAAGACTTTTTAATCTGCTTTCTTTATATCTTACATATAAAGTATCAATATTCAAAAGAAAATACAAATAATAGGTTTTTCTTCCTTCTTTGTTTAATATATTACGATAATAAATATATTTCTTTTTGTTTTTTGATAAGAATAGAAAAGATCGTACTAAAACTAATGATAATTTTGTTATGACATGTAAGTGTTTTTTCGACATTGACATATTGTTTTGACCGTTTATGGTTATAAATAAGAATTTCTTTTTTTTTGTATCTAATGAGATTTTCTATTTGTTCTAGCTTATGTGAAGTTACAATTCAATGATTTATAGTAGGAGGTTTTTTTTTTTGTTTTTTGCTTAGATAAGTCTTAATTTTATGACGGAACACTTGAATATGACAAGAGCCAGATATCCATAAGACATAAAAAAAAAAAAGAAAAACACATTTCTCAAGTGTGTCTATTAAAAAAACATAGAATAATTATTTTGCTCATTTATTCGTACTTTATATTCAAGGATATGATCTAAAGAAAAGATTTTGTAATTGAATATAATGTGATTGTAATTCAAAGATCGATCAAAAGGAAATCAATTGCGATATTTTTGTATGATTCGATGAGCTTAACAAGAATATGTATACGAACAATATTTTAAAGAATATTATTGAGAGAACAGGAGAGTGTGAATCGAACTAAAGAACCCTATTAAAGGCGTCAGTATCAAATATATTTCTTCTTGTTATCTTGGAAATAAATGGGGCGGTTTTTCTTTTTTTTACTCAATATGATGTCAAGAAAAAAATGACGTATTTTTTTAATTTTCTGTTTGAGTATTATTAAGAAAATCTATTTCTTTTATTCCATAGACATAACAGTCACGAAATGTTGTCATGTTTTGCAGTTTTGACTATTAAAAATTGATTTGTACGCAAAATAAATATATCGTTACAGATCAACACAAACTTCATTATCGAACAGATTATATTTTATAAAAAAAAAAAAAAATGTATTTTTCGTCAAAATTCGATCCGCAAGAAATTCTAGAACAACATCGATTGAAAAATAGTTTAAGAAGTCAAGGGAGGGGAAACGAATTTTGATGGAACATTTTTTTAATAAAATATAATATGCTTGACAAAAGGTTATGCACTGATTTATAAAACTGTATTTATTTTGCATAAAAATCAATTTTTGATAGTTCAAACAGTATAGTTCGCGATCATATTTTATGACTTTTTCGCTTATAATATGAAACAGAGATTGAAAAGGAAAAGAGAATTCAAATCAGTAAACTTCGGTTTGATTCGATCGTTGGTATAAAAGAAATCGATTATCTCAAAAATGTTCGAGCATAAAATTAAAAGAATACAGAACTTTTGTTACTGACATCATATTGAATAAAAAGAAGAAATATCATGCCAATTTTCTAGAGAGTGAGAATCGATGTATTTTGGTGCTAATACATTTCTAACAGGAGTTTTTTTTTTATTAAAATTTACTCGCCTGTTCTTTCGATACTATTCTTATTTATTGTCGAGCTCGTGAAACTCTATTGAAGAATATTACAAGTGAGGTTTTAAATTTTATTGATTTTTAATTACTGATACCTTCTTTAAGGCAATGCTCTTGTGTCTTGAATATTTGTTTATAATAATACAGAACACTTGTTTTTATTACTTACATATAATGAAACAGTCATACAATCTTTTCTTTAATGCTCTTAGTTTAATAATATATAGGAGACTAATAATCGAAAACTCCTTAATTGATGACATTGGATGTTGATACACTCCGACATTGTTTCTGATTGTGAAATAGAAGCAAAATTTTTTGAATTAGGAAATACAAAGATTTTTCTCGCTGTAATGAGTTCAATTTATCAATTGAATCTTTAAATGAAGCACAATGATGAATAAAATATCTTTTAAAAAAGATTAATTATTTGATCTCACTTTTACTCTCATAATGATACATTGGAAATAGTATTCGTTTTAATTAGTATAAGAAATTTATTACATATCGGACGGCAGAATAATATGTACTCGAACTCTTAATACTGTATATAGAATTTATTGCTATTATCAAGATTATGTTACTCTATATCTACACTTCATCATGGATCTATCAGTAGATGATATCATTTTCAATATATAATTATCGGCTGTTATTGTTTGTCGTATCTATTGTATTATTATTTCTATTGTAACAATTACAAAGATCGTATAACGCCTCTATTGTTGGCGTTTTTTACTTTTACGTCAAGCATGATTAGTGTATCTTTTAATATCTTAGAGTAAAACAAGATTGTCGAATTCTTTATTATGCTTCTGCTCTGAATATGTGTACGCTCAATACATTTCTAATAGATTTGATCTGATCTTTGTCCATCGATTAACAAAAAAAAAAGGTCGCCAATAAGTGACAGAAAAAAAGTTCACATGTCATACTAAAAGTTATCCAACGTCGAACCATGGTTATTTAAATGTTTCTACTAGAAGAAGACTGTTTCATCATACTGATATTTCAAAAACAAAAGAAAGTAAAGTGTAAATCTTTTTTTTTCTAAATTACCAAGATAGCATTGATAGAATTAAAAAAAAAATTCAAACAATAAGTTAAAAGTCTGAAGAAAAAATTTCAATACCAAATTTGTTTAGTTTTTTATTAAAACTTACGTGTTTATTAGGTTCTTCAACCTTGATAATAAGTGAATCGAGATCAACTGATTTATATGATTCTGTTTTATTTGAAAACTTCTAGATGAAAAAAAAAATAATAATAATAATAAGAAAATGTCAAAAACAAGATTACTAGAATACGAACACTTGAGTTTAACGATCAAAAAAGAAAATGGAAAAAAAGCAGAAAACAACATGAACTTGTCACTCTTTCTAATTATCATATATGCATCAATATAGTTGATTATTAATGTAAATTGAATAAAAACATTCTCTGCTAATTGTTGACTTTTACAAGAGGAAAAACAAAACAGATCTACGGTTATCATCAATAACTTGTCTTATTTGGCACATTTATTTTCTTTATAATAACAAATAGAATTAAAGTCCATATATATATATATATAAACAAACAATATTTTGAAATCAAAATATCTCGAAATCATTTTTGATTGTTTCTAAGAATTAATTTGAATTTATTTTACCTTAAATTAATACAATGTATGACTTTGACAATCTCGTTATTACGTTTACATAAAATGGGTCAAAAAAATCATAATGTTCCTTCTTCTGTTATATAAATATAGAAGTCAAAAGAATGAGATAAACGTCAGATAAAG